CACACACACACACACACACACACACACACACACACACACACACACACACTGCTCCTGTGTGGCAGAAGGGAGAGAGAAAGAAATCTGGGTCAGTCTCTCAGGGAAGGCTCCGTGGCATCTCCCCACCTTACCCAACAGATGCTCAGTGTTGCAAGTCCAGGCTGTGTTCTGAAGCTTTCCTCCTGCCTGCTGGAGACACCCTGGAGTGGGACCCCAGGCTTTTCCTACTTGGCCCCTTCCTGGGCCTCCCTGTTCAGGTGACCTCACTCTGGGGCTTGAGCATCTTCCATGATCAGGCCCCTGGACTCATGGGTCATTTTTCCCACACTGATCTGATTGCAGGAGGGGGTGACAGAAGCTCTTACCATCCCCCACTGGACCCTCCAGCTCAGCCCCTGGGATTTGGGGGGTGAGGGGCAGAGTGGTTTGCAGAGGAGTGTCTGGAGCTGGGGCCATGTCATAGCAACCCCATGCAGAGAATGCCTGAACACAGACGAGGGGCTCCTAATGGTAGAATTTCAAGCAGGATGGCAGGGGGTGGGGCCAGGTAGGATGCCTCAGGGGTGGGAAAGGTTTCTGAAAGAAGGGCAGAGAAACAGCTAAGGATATCACTGCCTTTTCAGGATGGAGCTTGGAGCAGGGACTTAGCTAAAGCCCTGAGTGGTTAAGAGGGTCCCTGAGACAGGACTGAAGTCCAGGGTAGAGCTTCCACCATGCCATTGAGCTCAGGGGGACATTCATTGGACTGGGTGGCAGGTTTCCTGTCTCATCCAGGCCCTGTTTAGACAGAAAAACAGGATCATGGGGAATTGCCATGGTTTCAGCCACCCAGGGACCCTGGAAGCCTCCCACCCTCGTCTCTGGTAGACACCCAAATCACTTCCGTTTTACTGCCTCCCTGCCCCTCCATCACACAGTTCTCAGGTGACCCAGGAAATCTCTCCTTCCTTCTACCAGGGCATGACCACTGGTGTCAAGAATGTTCACTGAGTGAAAGAATAGATAATTGATCTGATTTAAGCTAGATACAAGGAAGGACTTCCTTATGCCACTGGAGCAGGCTTAGCCCAGGACTTGATGTTTATGGAGGTGAGACAGAGCCTCAAAAGGCCTGTCAGGTGGCAGGGGGGCGGGGGGCCGAGCACCCCTAACTTCCTCCAGAGGCCAGGTCCTGCCGTCTGATGTGACAAGGCACCAGCTCCTGCCTATGGGGGCTTCGGCATGTCCCAGAGCTGCCAGGCCCGGAGCCTTCTGTGATGCCTGTCCTTTTTCTTGCACAGGGTGTGCATGTCCTGTGTGGGGGTCTGTTGTTGAAATATTGGTGTCATTGTGTGCATCTGTTGGCACACATGTGTGCCGTATGTGTATACATGTGATCAAGCTGAGGGCACACGTGCACAGGAGTCAGTTTAAGGACTTCGGAGCTCTTTTAAAAGATGGAACCAGAGACCATCCAGCTTTAGAAGGGGTAAATGGATTGTTTTCAGACCATAGAGAGGCAGGCAAGCTTTCTTATACTCTCCAGACACTTATGGAGTAGAGACCCCCCAGGCTGGGGCATTGGAGACCCAGGGGCAAGTGGAGCTGTCCTTGACCTTGAGGTGGTGCCTGTGAGAAAGGAGTTCAGGAGGGTTGGGGAGGGGCTTCAAGAGAAGGTGCAGAGTGTTGGGGTTTCTAGTGGGGACAGGGGCTGGGTCATGTTCTCTGCAGATGGGCCGGGCAGCCTGCCCCCTCCTTAAGGACCCGTGAAAATTTTCCTGCTTCCTCACCCTCAAGGGTCCCCGCCAGCCCAGTCCTTCCTCTCTTCTGATCAGGCTCAGGCAGACCCTTCTCTCACTCCCTGCATCCCCAGCCAGACCGAGCTTCATCCCAGAGCTGAGAGGACCCCTGGACAGGAGCTGGGGCAGCTGAGGAGTGGAACAGGAGCTGCCAGCACAGCATCTTCCCTCTGCTCACCCGACTTGACTCAGGACCCCGCGGGCTAGGGACATACGCACGCTCACACTTGTGCGTCCTCCAGGATCAATAGGGTAAGGAGCTGGAAAAGGTATAATTCAATCTGTCAGCTTGATTATTAGTTATTGTGCTGGAGATGGCGCCGGGCTTCCTGTCTTGCCTCTACTACCTTCTCACACCTCCATCCAGAGGCCATGGAGGATCCCGGGCTGGGAGGGGAGCTGGGCAGAGTGGGGTGTGGGCAGTGTCCTGGGCAGGAATGGCCTGTGAGGATTGGGCCAACACCCCCACCTCCCCCAGAGCATAGGCCCTGGGAGGGTCTCCTAGACCCTCTGGGCCAGCAGCACAGCCATTGTCCAGACAGAGAAACTGAGGCCCAGTGAAGGAGAGCGCTGGCATGTGCTTGTGTGGTGGGGGCCACCCTGCTGCTCCCCCCCCACCTCACTTGCTAGGCCCCTGCTGGGAAGGCAGGAGAGAAAAAGAAGCAGAGGGTGGGGAAGGGGGTGGGGAAAGGGGAGGATCTGGGGTAGTGTGAGTGCACAGCTGTGCTCCCAGCTGTGTTTGAACCCTCAGGCCAAGGAAGGCCTTGCTTTCTGCCCTGCCCTCTGGGACAGTGGCCCACTCAGAAAATGGACAGTGACTGGCTCTGGTTCTCATTTGGCGCCTCATGTGACCTGGCAGGCCCCTGTGATCCCCATTTCATAGACATGCAAGCCGAGGACCGAAGGGAGGCCTGCCAAGGCATATGGCTAGGGAGGGGCAGTTCCTGACCCTAGGGGCCACAGGCCTGCCTGCCCGTGGGGGGCCTTCCACAGCGGAACACCCTCAGCAAGGAGACTTTGCTCGCTGCCTTGAGATTAGCTGGGACTAGCTCCTCTGGGAGGGTCGGACACTTGCTTACAGGGCCCCAGCCTTCCCAGTGTTCCCTGTTTGTTCCCATGCTTTTCAAGAATTTTTTCTGAAAGTCTGACCACGGTTCCTCATGCTTTAACTTCATCCCACCACTCTTGCGGGATCTTGTCAGTCCAAAGGCTACCCTGGCCTCTCCTCTGTCCCTCTACCTGCTTGGCGCTAGGTGAGTCTGCAGCCTTGAGCGCTGGCCCCTGCAATCTGACTTGCCCTTGAGGGCAAGGGGTGAAGCTGACCCACCGCAGCCTTCCCCCTAGGTCTGCTTGAAAATTGGCTTGCCTTTGCCCAGCATTGCTATTCTCATCACAGCCTCTGCCCACCGCATTTCTATCAAACTCATTTGCCATCTGAAGGCCTCCATTTTCCACTCTATTTGACCATAATCACCCCCAACCCCGTCCCCATCTCCCCAACCTCTCCCTGCAGTGCCCAGCACTGTGGTGAGCAGGCAGCCAGGCTCAGGTGCAGCCCAGGGCCTTCCTCCCTCCTTCCTGTCTTGGGAAGAGGTCTGTGCTCCAGGCAGTGCCCCATCCCTGCCTTTGTGCCTCTCTGTCCCAAACCAGACACCTCGAGAACTAAGGACAGACTCTCAGTCATTGAAAGCTACTCACTAGCCACTCTCCACCTTCTCCACTCAGGCTAGGAAGGCCTGGGTGTCACCCTAAAATCTGATGCTCAGAGGCCCAGGTCTTGCCTATTATGCCCCGACAACAAGCTCCAAAATTACTCTCACCCCAAGAGTAGCAGATCTCAGATCAGGGTGAGTAGGAAGCAAGGTGGTTTTTAAACTAATTCATACTAAGGTGTGAGTGGCTGGTAGCAATTTTTCCTGCCCATGGTGTTTGTATTCGAACAGTGAAGCATTATAATGATAGTATTATTAATAATAGCAATAATAATCACTAGCACTCAATTTTTACTGTGTCAGGCACTGTTTCAAATACCGTACATGTATTAAGTCATTTAATTAATCCACTAACCCAAATGAATTTCTAATTGGTAGGAAGAGATAAGGGAAGAATGTTGAGGGATGGGGGAAGAATGAGGGAGGCAAACCTCTCCCTCCTCCAAGCCTCCCTCCCAGTTCCCACTAGGTAGAGAAAAGAGTCCAGTTGTTGACATATCAAAGCATGTCAGGGGCCGGCCCAGTGGTGCACTGGAGAGTGTGGCCCTTGGGAGTGCGGCGGCGCTCCCGCCGAGGGTTCGGATCCCATGTGGAGACTGGTTCCCGCTCACTGGCTGAGCATGGTGCAGGCGCAACACCGAGGGTTGCGATCCCGTTGCCAGTCCCTGGTACGGGCGCGACACCGAGGGTTGCGATCCCGTTACCGGTCAGTAAAAGAGACAAAAAGGAAAAAAAAAAAAAAAGCATGTCAGGCATTTGCTTGAGGTCACCTTGGGAAGGCAAAGGAGACTGATCCACCTGGGGACTCACGGTTCTCCCATGAGATGCCTGGGAGGGTGGGGCTCCAGATGAGGCACCTTCCCCCAAGGATCAGAGAGCACCCCTTAGAAAGTCCCTTGGTGCCAAGGTGCCAGCTGAGGGGTCAGAGGCAATGTCCTCTATGTTATCTGAACCCCTCCAAGTCTCACTGCTGGACCGCCGCCTGGACCCTGTGGCCACACCTTTGACTCTACTCTAGGCTGGACATGCCGCAGAGCCCATCTACAAACCTGTTTACTATGAGCCTCAAATGAACCCTATAGGGTGAGTGGAGTTGGGACGAGAATCCCCATTTTGTGGGTGGGGAGACTGAGACTCAGAGAGGAGAAATAACTGTGCTGACTCCCCCTCTCCGGAAGAGTGGCCTGATGAACTCCTGGAGTCAGGGATGGGGAAGGGTTATGGCATTCTAACAGGGACTTTCACCATTTTCAAGAGACAGATGTGTGATTATGGTGGGATTTCAGGCCCTGCTCCGTTCCCTCTCCACCAGGTGGTCTCCTCGTTCCCCAGGGCACCCCCTACTGGAGGAGGCTGAGCAAGAGACAGATGTGTGATTATGGTGGGATTTCAGGCCCTGCTCCGTTCCCTCTCCACCAGGTTGTCTCCTTGTTCCCCAGGGCACCCCCTACTGGAGGAGGCTGAGCAGCTGCTCCTAGGCAGCCCCCATCCCACCCTAACACGTCCCACCCTACGCCAGCCTTTCCCGCCTGCCAGCTTTCAAGGTCGGGCTACCTGGTAGTACAGTAATTGATCCAGGAGACTTCCATTATAAATCTCCCAGCCGTGGCCAGCTTTTCTCAGCCAGCCAGCTGCCACGCCCCACAGCCCATTTCATTCAGCCTGCCATGGTAATGACCACTCATCCATCCCTCCGTGGGAAGGTGGCTGCCGTTCCCTGTTTCTTCCCACTCCCCACCCCGTAAGCAGAACACCAGGGACTCTGAACTCAGACAGAGGTGACGCAGTTCTGAAACTGACCTCAACCATCGATAGCTAGGTAGTCCTGGGCAAACTGCTTTCCCTCTCTGAGCCTCTATGTCCACACCTGGAATGTGGGTCTGGTCAGATGGCCTTGAGGATTCAGTGTGATAAAGTGTAGGAACTGACAGGGCAGCTACCAGGATGAGGGACCCCTGCTTGAGGATCCTCAGGTGGGGGAGTCCTGGTAGGACATGATTGCACCTGCCTCTTGGCAAGTCAGAGAAGACTTCTCAGAAGAGGTGACATTTGGGCTGGACCCTGAAGGATGACCAGATTCCCCCAGGTTTGGGGGCTGGGGCAGTGGTGGATGGTGTTCTAGGGACGGCAGGAAGGGGTCCTATATTATGGAGGCATGAACAGGCCAGAAACTTAGGGTTTTTTACTTGCAAATCTGACTACATCCAGGCCCTGCTTACATTCTTCAGTGGCTTCCAAAGCTCTCCAGCTGAAGCCCCAGCTTCCTCAGAAAGGGTCAGAGGCCTGGCGAGATCTAGTCCCTGCTGGCTTCTTCAGGCATCCCAGCCACTGCCCTTGGCCTCAGGACTCCAGCATTAATGAATTTTTTAATCCTCTACAGTCTGTGACCTTTGCGCCAGCTGCTCCCTAATTGGACTCTGTGACCACAATAAAATTTGACCCTGTGACCAAATAAAAGCCCCACTCCCTTCCAGGACCCATGAGACCCTATGTGACCTGCTTCCCCTCCTTGCCTCCTTTGCCCTCCCCCCCTTAGGATTCCAGCTCCTCTGTTGTCCCCTCATGTGGCTAGTTCTGTCATGTTCAGGACTCAGCTCAAGTAAAAACTTAAAGTAGCTGTCAGGTGACCAGTCATCCAGGTTTGCCCAGGATGCAGGTGTTCCCCAGGATGCAGAACTTTTCATGCTGAAACCAGTCAGTCCCAGACAAATTGGAACAGTCAGTCTCCCTAATTTCTCTCCATTCCCTATTTCCAGGCACACCTGTTCCCTTTTCCACCACTCTTGTTGGAAGTCCCAGTTCATCCATGTCTTTTTACTCACTGGTCGGCAATCCCCCCGCCACTGGCCTTGAGCTGCCAGGGAGCATCTGCCTGCTCAGCACTGAATCCCCTTGCCCAGCACGGTGCAAGGCAAGACCAGGCTCGGCAAACCGTGCCCAGTCAAGCTTCATTGAGTGAATGGATGAGGCACAGACACAGACTGTTCCTGGGAGGACCCAGCCAAGCCTCTTCTCCTCTCTGGGCCTCAGTTTCCCATCTGTACCACAAGGTGGGCTCTGGGAGTCTCAGGAAGAGCTCTCCCAGCCCCAGTGTCCTCAGCTGCAGCAAGTGGAGAAAAGGGCCAGTGCCCAGCTCAGTGTGAAGGGCCAGGCCTGCGCTGAACTCCAGGTAGAACAGAGCTGGCGGTCCCCCAGCAGCAGGGCAGGGCAGCGCTGCTGAGGGAGGATGAGTGTCACAGCCCTCACCTTCCTGGGCATCCTGCCATCACCTGGGGGCCATTTCTGGGCCAGGTCATCGGTGCAGAACCAGGGTTGGGGGCGTCCAGAGAGATGGCACCGACTGCCAAGCCCCACTCCCCTCCCTCCCCCGGGAAACAGATGGCCCAAGCTTGGGCGGGCAGAGACGGGGACTGGCATTTGTGTATGTGTGTGGTTTTTAAAAAATCTGACACATTTTTGTCACGTCTTGGTGCATCAGAACAGTAAAGGAGGCGGGAGTGTGAAGAGTGTTTTAACTCGCAACTTT